TAGTTTTAAATTTTACTTTCTAATATGTAGATGTTGTGCTCGAGAAATATTTCAAATGCAACATATGTTATTAATGGGCTACTTTGTGTGACCAGAAATGAACATAGATTCAGTGGCATAATGTTAAGAGGTTTAAGGGTATGCTGGGATTTGTGAAGAGTAGCACCTTACGATGTTCATGGCCAATTGGTACAAATGTTTAAGAAATATTTCTCTTACACCTTACACTCTCTCTCTCTCTTTCTTACGCCTCACATTTTCTCTTTCTAAAATCATGATTTTTTTTCCAAAATTAGTTGTCAAATTTTGTGACCTATAATTTAATTAAACTTGTTACAATTAAATTAACACATAATTTGTGGCCACGTTCACATGTCGATAACAAATCATATAAGGTTACAGTTACATAGACACAATTGTAGGTCACAATAACATATAATTTATGATAAGAATTACATACAAGCTACAAATCATAGAACATCACAATCATAAAGAATAAAGCGTGGGTCAAAATTACAAATTTAGTCACAAATCATACATTTTATTGGTCACAACTAATTTATCGATCACAAATTTTTAAGTTAATTGATTATAACTTATTTATCAATTACAAATTATTTGATCACAATTTGTCTCACTATCACAGGCTATTAAATTAATTGATCGCAACTTAGCTATGGATCATAAATATACAAATTGTAGGTCACAATTACAAATAAAATTACAAATAACACAATTTTTAGATCACGTTTATTTATTTTTATCACAATTATCCAATTGGTCACAATCACGTTTCGTCCCAACCCACACCACAAATTAAATTACAACCTATTTCACAGTCACAAATAATCAAATTAATAGGTCACAAGTTAATTCTTGATCACAATTTATCAAACTAATTGGTCACGGCTTATTTCTCAATCATAAATCATAAATTTTATAGGTCACAAATGATCAAATTAATAGATCACAAGTTATTTCTCGATCACGATTTATTAAATTAATTGATCACGACTTATTTAAAAACACAAATTATAGGTCACACATTTTTAGGTCTCATATTATTTATTGGTCACAATTACCCAATTGGTGGTCACCACCATTGCCACAACCTTCCATCATCATAACTACTCCAACTATCTTGACCTGTTTTATTCTAAAAACTCCGTTAAAAAGAAGTCTTGATAGCGTGTTCATTTCTTGCTGCCTCCATATGACTATACAATAATCCGTTATATAATTAGCAAAAGTATACTCAAAATCGAAAATAACATATCATTAATATCTCCATCCCGACTCCCATTATGTTATTTCGTGGCATAGAAGAATGCATTAGCCATCATCTTGACAAGCTGAACCTGAGAAGCAGTTGTGAGATGTATGTCATCCAAGTTGAAGTCCAACGGCATCAATTGTTACCACACTCTCCGGCGTCTTTTGAATTGATTTTACTCTCTGGATATAATTCTTCACCCTTTGTCCTGATGCTAATGTTGCCTTGATATGTATTAATTGTCAAAAATAACAGTTTCTTTGGGGATTCCAAACTGCAAAATAAATTGATTAAATCTTTCATTTCGGTCGAGCTCCATTTTCTTCTATTGGATCTCGGACCACGAGTCCATTGTCATAGATCGAACAAAGAATCGTTAAGACCGTGGTGCTTGCCTGAGCGCTCAAGGCACATGAAAAAGCCATAAGAGATGGAAGCCTATTGCAAATTCTTCTGTAAACAATCAACGCAGATATTGCTCCCGACTACGATTGGAGCTCTTGAGTAATGATAATGTAATCTTAAATCCATGTTTTCCTGTAATTTCCTCAAATCACACAAGCACAGTGCCTTTTCTCATCTCTGATGCCGATCAACACCTTTTCATTCTCCGACAATGAGAGCAACGCCACACATAGTGATGACAAAAAAAATCGTCCCGAACGGGTTGACGTAGTAGGGTGGGGCACCCTGTCCCAGGGCGCGGGGTGAGGATACCCTGCGTCGAACCCGACCCGTGAAGGGAAAAAAAATCCTTTTTGAATTATGCAGATAAAATGATAAATGATAAACAAAAAACTCTCCAGGGAACAAGCTTCTCTATTTAAATTATGCATTCAATTACAACCAATAAAATTAACAAACAGTATCACGTCTTATCATTTCAGAACAAACTCAGAAAATAAACAAAGACAATAATCTTGCCTCTTATCATTCATTTGAGCCAACTTATATTTGAATAAAAAATAATTTTATTTCTAGACAATTCACCCATTAAGAATTCATTATGAATTTTTATTTTATTCTCTAATAATAGTATAACTTGAATTTTTGAAAATATAAAAATATTAAACAGGGCAACAAACTGGGTAAAAAGTTGCCCTACCCCCACCACGCCCCACTCCGTTGCCACCCCTAGTTTGGGATCTAGATATTTTAGAAAATCGAATATAAAATTGAATTTCTTAAAGGATGAGAACCTCAACGACAAATTTCCGAGGAAAAAAATCTAGATATAATAAACATTGATATTAATAACCTTGAGTTTTCCCAAAAAAAAACTATGGAAGTAACTCTTATCTTACCAAATTATTATATCAATATCCTTTTATTGTAATTAAACGAAATAAATATATCATTTTACAAACTATATTTTCAATATTATTTTATTTACACGTTTCATGAATGAACATTTTCTAAAGTAGAATTTATTTTTTCAAAATATAACATTACATTTTCAATACTACATTATTCTATTTGTAAAAAAAACTATGGAAGTAACTCTTATCTTACCAAATTATTATATCAATATCCTTTTATTGTAATTAAACGAAATAAATATATCATTTTACAAACTATATTTTCAATATTATTTTATTTACACGTTTCATGAATGAACATTTTCTAAAGTAGAATTTATTTTTTCAAAATATAACATTACATTTTCAATACTACATTATTCTATTTGTATTCATTTATCAAATCAACATCTATTACATTAAGAAACAAATAATTCCGGATACATGTTTACGAAGGCCTCCTAGAAACATCATGGGGATTTAATTGCATATTAATTTATATTGTAAGCCTGTCGGTAAGGACATATCTATAGTTAATAATATATTATCATATAAAATTATCAAATTACTCGTTTAGAATGTGTTTGACCTACATTCTTTAAAAAAAAAATACATTCTTAAACAGTGATTTGATATCATTTCAATCACACATTTTTCAATAAAATAATATTACACGCAAATTAAAAAAAATCTTATTTTTTAACCACACATTTTTCATCAATACACTATTCAAAAATGTATTATTGTTGAAATAATGTGGCTCAAACAAGGGCTTAATATGTTGCCCTAAGTTAAGAGTAACAATTTATTGACCTAGTTCATTGAAGTTTTAGGCTTCGTTCATATAAAAATTCGTAAATGATTATGCATTCAATTAAAGTCAAATATTAATTTTAATCACAAATTCATAAATACAATTCATTATTTCGACACGTTTTGTAAGACCAACTATCATTCCTATTTATAAATCATTTAGGGTGTGTGTGTCACTCATTATATTGGAAGAATATATTATGAAATAGTGATTGATGTTGAAATGTGTAGTTAAAAAGGAAGGAAGTTTTTTTTAATTTATGTGTAATATTATTTTAATGAAGAATGTATGGTTAAAAATGAGTACTATAAAAAAAATAATGGAAAAGAATAGGAGAAAATAGTTGACAAATCAAAGCTTAATGTCTACTTGACAAATTAATAAATAATTTATAATTAGGAATTGTAAGAGGAATATTATAATGTCCCACTAAATGTATGGATAATAATAAGTAATAATTATTAGTAAAAGAATTTAATTCATATTTGTCGACTCTCATCGAATTTATAAATTGAATTTCGAACGGAGGCTTACAAGTATGCCAAATAGTGGTTTTTTTGTATATGAATTTAACATTGTGCTTCTGTTTGGTGTACTTAAAAATTAATTTTTTAATAAATTTTAATAAAAGTTGATAATGTTTGATTAAAATTAATTGTTAGTTTCAATTTTAATTTTTATTAAATTTTTAAGTGACATATGTACTCTCTTGAAATGCAATATTGGATTGGATGAATTAGCATAATAGATAAGATTTTAGTTTTTAATTCTTTAACACTATCAAGACTGTACTGTTGACCATGCCTAAAAGCCAGAATATCATTTTAGTGAAGTAAGAATAAAGATGATGGTGAAGTCATTGTAATATGGTATCTTAAATGGTAATTTCTTTGAACATTTAGGCTCAGTTTTTAATAGCACTTGAATACGATATAGTGTAGAGGGTTAGAACAAGTTGGATGAAATGGAGCATTGCTAGTTATATTCTATCTGACCATAAGATGCCTATAGAATTAAAAGGTATGTTCTACAGAGCTGATTAGATCAGTTATACTAAAATTGACATGGTTAAAGGATTTGTTTTCGTTATAATACTATGATCAACCAAACGGCCTGGAGGTATAGACATGTAACGACCCTTAAATTTACAGGAAATAAGGCATACTTTGTTGCTGTGTTCTCATTGACGAATGCATTTTTAAGTATATTTTTTAAGTTACATTTGCTAGACATTAATATTTTAGAATGTTAGGGTTATGTGTGGATCGTAAGTTTGTTGAATTGGTAAGGGAATTTGAGTTATTTTATCTGTCAAACTTATGTAAAAATAAGTTATTTTGATAGTAATTCTCTCTAGAAGGTCAAACAAAGCAACCCCAAATATACGTTGTATGATTTTGCATTTAAGTCAATTATAGTTTAAGAATGTGGCAGTATCTGAAATTCTTTACCTAAAGTTAATTTTGTGGTCTGAGATGGTAAAATTATTCCTGCAAAGAGGTTTAGCACAATGAAATGTATTGTTAGTTGGTTCTAATTTTGAGGGGTCAATTTTTTAACCTTTTATGGGATTTTAAAGTTATAGACTGTCTTGCTATTTTTTGAGGCATAAACGTTTCTCTTCTGTAGAGCATGGATAGCATTACCTGACAGCCAGCAAGTGTCTATTTTCCCCCCTTTTTGTGTTGATCTTTCTGGAATTCAATACATTTCAGGCATTGATGAATGGCCAGGAAAGCAAATTCACAGTCATAACTATCGCATTCCAGAGCCTTTTCAAGATCAGGTATGTATCAGGTGCAATGTTTTCCTTTTGTGTTAGAAATTTCAAGTCAAATTGAAAGCGGTATTACTGTTTGGAATGTGTTCAGTTCACCATGGAATTTGATGAGAAATTATACTGCTTTTCTGCATGTCAAATCTAGTTGGTCTGCGGATAACCTTGTTAAGGCCTCTTAGTAAAGCTAACAACTAAAATGTCATTCTTTTCTATGGCCAACGGATCATAGGCTTGTTTGGTGGTAAATTAAGAAGCAGACCAATTTCAAATTTCCGTTCTTTTTAACGGAATGAAGGTGCTGGAATAGGATGTTGCCGTCATCTGCTAATAAAAAATATTGGTCATTAAATTAGCATAGAGAAAGAGGGATTGGATTTGGCTAGTCCATTAGAATTTGACTTTGATGTAGTATTAGTATGGCTGGTTGATTTCAGTATATAGGATGACAATAAGTAGTTGATAAGATTAACAGTAGAGCCGCTAAAACATTTATAACATGTTTGGTAAGCTTGATAAGATAGCAGACTAATAGTGGATGGTATTAATGAATAAAAAGAAAAAGAAAGGAATATTTTGCCTATTGTGTCCAATCATGTCTAGTACTGGGTACCAACATTTCATTACAGTTATTGTTTCCTTTGTTATCATTTTGTTGCCCATTGTTCCTTCCCCATTTTCCTTGTTTTGGATCTCAAGATGTGTATCATTAAGCATCTCTGATCCAGCGTGGCATCCAGCCATGGCGTTTTCTTTCCCCAGAAATGAATGTGTAAAGTAGTGTGTGCATCCAGTTATGCATTAGACCATGTAAAGTAAAAAAAATTTAGGCCTCTTTGTCTATTAATTAGCTAGAAGATACTTTAGTTTAATTAAGTTGAAGATAGAAAATTTCCAATTTTTCTCTCTCGTCGTCCCTCCTTCCCTCTCTTCTTCTCTATAATCTTCTATACTGTATTCTCTGTTGCATCACCACAACCTTGGATCTGCATTTTTTGTGTGTGCAGGCGCGCGCGTGTGTATTTATTGCAAGGTAGCTGAAAAAAGAGATCATGGATGATTTGTCTCACTCCTAAATTACAACTTTGTTTTAGTGTTGGACAACCATGATGGTTTATATTTGGGTCAAGATGATGGGAGTACTAATAAAACAGATTTTGCTTGTAATATTTGATCTTATGTACTTTTCATGAATTTGCTATTTTATTTGATTTCAAACAGGTTGTGGTGCTGATTGGCAGTTCTGCAAGTGCTGCTGATATTTCCAGAGACATATCTAAAGTTGCCAAAGAAGTCCACGTTGCATCTAGATCAGATCAAATTGGACTCCTTGGGAAGTTGCCCGGCCATGATAATATTTGGCTTCATTCCATGGTAAAGTTGCTTTAGCCCTGTAACTCTGTGCAGCGTGAGTTTGATTAACAGTTGATGCTGCAAATTCTATTGATCAGATAACACTGACACAACAATAATCTGCAGATCAACAGTGTTCACAAAGATGGTATTGTGGCTTTTCAAGATGGAAGCAAAGTCCATGCAGATGTTATCCTAAATTGCACTGGGTATGTAATGAATAATGAATTTACGATCTAGTCTGTTTTCTACCAACTTTTATTCTATATAGCAAAGGAAGTATATTACTTATTCCCTTTAAGGAATAAGAAAGATCTAAAAGGCATTCTATTTCATTTTCCAGGTACAAGTATCATTTTCCTTTTCTTGAAACCAATGGCATTGTGACTGTGGATGACAATCGAGTTGGTCCACTTTATAAGCACATTTTCCCACCAACCTTGGCCCCATGGCTTTCATTTGTTGGCTTGGCATGGAAGGTTTGATCAATTTTCTCATTGTACTTAATTTTCATGGGAGAATTGCTCTATTTATCAACCTATTTTCTGAGTAGCAAGTTAGTCTCCAACCTTTAGAAATGAGTAGGTTGGTTCTTATCTATCATTATAGTTGCACAATCAGTTATCAATGACGAAGAACTGCCTGAGTCTCTATTAAATCATCACGTGGCCCTCCTCACATGTCTAACTTCACAAAACTAGATTTTGTTTTCCAACTTGAGCTGGTGCCCACAAAGGCATAAACTTAAAGCCAAGACATGTTTTCATGAATGTCACACAGTGATTTAATGAAAATTTGGATGCTTTCATGTTGATGACTGATTCTTCAAATATGATGATAGTTGGTCCTCCCTGCTTCTTTTTTAAATGGGGACCACTTGCTACTAGTAAAATAACTTTGGGACAAATACTGCATTTTTCTTATATTTTCTCCATAGATGTGATTTTGACCTTTTAAGGATTTGATTTTAACAAATTCTTAGGATTGAGTTGTATTCAGGTTGCACCTTTCCCCTTCTTTGAGTATCAGACCAAGTGGATCGCTGGAGTTTTATCTGGTCGAATTTTGCTTCCATCAATAGAGGAAATGATGGCAGATACCGAAGCTTTTTACTCATCGTTGGAAGCATCTGGAATTCCTAAGCGATATACTCATAACCTTAGTGGTTATCAGGTATAATACTGCTTGGTCAATGTGTTATGGATTAAACCTAATTCCCAATTTAGATACAATAATGAATGGAGAAGGAAAAAGGAAAACTCTTGCAAACGTAGTAAACTGCCTTGGGAGCTTATGCCTCCAAAACCCCAAGTACAGGGGAGACTCCCCTCATCGACTTTAGCACAAAGGTCAATTAGCTCACTAAAATTCATACTCCCAGGAAAAAATGAAAATATTCTATTTAAGAAAATATTAAATATATTTCTTTCTCAATTACTTATTGAATTGTTTCTCTTACAACTTTTGCATCTCGAACAGAGGACTCCAATTTATGTTATAGCAGGATCATTTAATTTTATTCTTTGTAAATGAAATGATTCCTAGATCTAGTACATTGACTCTGTATACATGAATAAATGGATCTAGATATAGTATGTCTCTATTAGTACAATGATTCATAATTCTCTTTTAGATTTGATGGTGGATAAGTATTCTGAAGGACTAACATTCAGTGTATATTCTTCAACATTCATCTCAAGTTTAGCTTAATTTCCAACAACAGACACAATATGGTTACATAGTGTGTTACTCTCCTGTTTCCTATTTGAATCTATTTTCTTTTGACTTTGGTATTGCTGTCTTCCCTATCATTTACATTTCTCTTTTCTCAATGTAACATTTCAAAAGGGACTTTTGTATGACATACTCAAGCTTTAGTTTTCACATGTCCATGAATCAGCCCATAAGTTATGAAGTATGTGACTGGAACACTTCCCTTTTAGATGAAATTTTCTGATCTCTGCCTCTCGTTGACATATTGCTGGAATGTGTGGAGCCTAATCATATTCTATACATATCCCCTGATATTTATATGATATATAAAGAATTTTTAGGGCCGCTATTGAAAACCTATAGTGGAAGCTGACACGGCTCTCACAGAAGATAAATATATAAATCTACGTGTTTGCTTATTTAAATTTCTGATCTCATTTTGGTTAATATTGCTCTACAATTGATGCATGCCTGCAGTTCGAATATAATGATTGGTTGGCTAGCAAGATTGGTTGTATGCCCTCGGAAAAATGGAGAAAGCAAATGTTTGATGCAACTAGCTGTAGGCGAAGAGACGCACCTGAGACCTACCGTGATCAGTGGCAAGACCAACATTTGATCTCATTGGCGCATGAAGACTTCAAAAAGTACATTCCGGCTGTTGCGCAATGACAAAATGTTCAAATGTTGCATCAGATATCAGTCGTGTTGTATGCTTTTATCAGGGCATGTTATATTTTATAAGTGTATATCATGTTATATGCTTAATATATGGTTGTCATTAAGATTTCTCTCTCTCTCTCTCTGAATAATTGAATATCAATTCAATTACATTTGTAATTTTGGTGATAAGCAATCAATGGCTTCTAAATTCTTTTCAGCATATGCGTCTTTTGCGTTCACTCCCCTTTTCAGAAAGATTTTTGCTCCATTTTCAACCCAATGGTGGTGGACGAGAACAGAGGCATGGGGCGCAACCAAATATATGAATCTGCTGGGATTTATCGCCACAGAAAAATCAAAACGCCGAGAGATTCAACTCAAACGAAAGTTTGTTTTGATGGTGCTCGAAAATCCAAAAGATGATATCCAGCTGGAGAGGATACTTTGAACTCGCTTGTGATAAGCAGGGCCCCTAGATATGCAGGAGATGCCAGCAAGATCGATCAACAAATGATAGGCCAGAGAGATGCGTTTATTTGACTCATTAGCAACCCCTCTGCCTACGTAACACAGATATCCTTGAAATAGGGGATTTGATTGGTTGATCGGAAGGCTTAGGCAAGAGTAGGACATTCCATACAAATCTTTCTGATCTGCTAGCTGGTGGTCCACTCAAATCCCATTTTTTTCATGGAAGGGTATGGTGAATTTTAAGGTTCCTTATTCCGCTATTAAAGCGGAAGAAGCCATTCTCTAACACAGAGAAACAGTGTTGAATGAGCGTGTGCCTCTTTCCTAGAAATGTACCCCTTCACTTGCTATGCAATCTACCACATCATTCCTTAGCAAAGACACGTAATAATTTTGATGAGAACAACTCTAAAATAAGTTCAATTCCCTCAAGTACTCAAAGTTTCCAATGATAATAGTTGCACACCTTAGTAGTGTCAACTTTAATCCCCTGAAAATGAATGGGATAGGCTCTATTCAATCTTCGGCAAAAGTTTATGCATTTATAACCCATACAATTCAAAAGTTGATAGACTTTATTACTATGTGGAATTCGGAATCCAAAAATTCTTTCAACGACATTTGGTCAATAACTTACAAAACAAATGTAAAGAAAACCAAATGGCTATAAATACAGATATCTAATCAAAATTAAACACCCTTCAAACTCATTCGTAGCTTTTTTGATAAGGTGGAATGACGTACTAGATAATTTTAAGAAAGAAAAATAAAATCTTGTTCTCAATACTGTAGAGTAGTATCTAATACTGTATACCAAACACGATGTTGAATCATTGAGCTGCAAGTTCTTCAATTCTTGATTTGATTCTCTGCAGAGTGCCCTCTACTGCAATATCAAATGCATCCTTTTTACTCCTCAAACCCAGTGAATTCCCATGATTTCTATACATAATTCTAGGAATCAATTCAATAACATTTTCTCTCATTCTCCTAACTTCACTTCTTGGTATACTCATCAACACATCCAAAATCCTTAATCCCTTAAACACCACATCCTCCTTAGGTACAAATACTGAAAACTCCTCATATTTCTCCTCAGGCAAATGCCAACCATATTGCTTTTTCGCAGTTAATTCCTCAAAAAATACCGGTATACACCCTGCAATTATCCCATCAAAAGTTGATCGCCTAGTCGGGGTATCCCCTGGAGGCTGCAAGCAGAAACTAGCCTGCAGCATTGGCTTCATAAACCTTATAGGATCATGTTCACAAACACCATTCGAACAATCCACAAACTCGCATAACTTGTCGTATCCAGTACCATTCGCACTTATGCTAGTACTATTCTCGCATTCGAGCCTAATGCTCCGTCGAATATTGGGATTGGCCGATATCCCACCACCAGCAGCAAACAACATCAATGCATTCCTCCTAGATTTCCTCACCCTATTCACCCAAGATTCAAGAAATGCTAAATTTGGAGGGTGAAAAGAAGTGGGATATGGGATTGCCCTTTCTTGCCAAGGATAAGCCCTGGCTTCAAATGTCAATGCAGTGACATTATAAAACTCGGGTAATTCAAGAAATGAAGTGCCAAAAATTGGTGGATCGTTCGACAGAGGTTGGATAAAATCCCAAGCTGAACGTGCAATTACCAAAAAATGATCATGCCCAAAATGTTTCTGCCACATAGAAGGTGTGTCCATATGTACTAGGTAATGATACAAATCTAATCCATGTAGGAAACTTGAATTCACTTGAGGCCCATAAAGGTACTTGAGGCTATCTATTCCAGCAAAATATGGGATGTAAATGGCATTAGCAAGATTTGGATCCGAGGTTAAACATGGGTATTCAAGCATCCGACGGTGGAAAATGAGTTCAAGCATGAACGGGTCTGTTCTGTACCAGCTGTGGGAATTGTTGTGGGTTTTTTGGCCGAGGCCATCGTTGGTTAGATAATTGCAAAAGTTATCAAAAAGGGGGTATTGGGAGCAGTTGAGTAACAGGTCAAGGTTGAATTGCAAGGGGAGGCGACGGATGTGGATCCATTTATTAGTGCAATCTAATTCAGGGTCGGATTCTTGTGATGTCGTGGTGGTGGTGATTGTAGTGAGGAGGAAGAGGAGGAGAAAGGTAGCGGTGAGTAACGGTGGTGGCATGGTCATGGTGGTGGTGGAAGGAGATGAGTGGTGGAGACAGAGAGTTGAGGACAGATGGGGGAGTTGACTAGCAGATTTGTCGGTGGGAGTTTTACTGGGTTGCCACTCTTTAATCACTGCCACTTGACAAATTCTGATTCTTTATTTCTTTTCTCCTTTATTAAAGGAAGAGCATTCTTTTTAAGACAACAAAAGAAAACAAAATATAATCCCATTTATGTAATAAAATTCACACTTTTCATTTTTCATTTTGCATTATTACAACATTTCTACATTTTTATGTATAATATTTTCTAATTGCATCCTGTTTATATGAATAAAATATTCTACACAAAAATATTTTTATCTAAGGTGCTTAAGTGCAAAGTAATTTGATTTTTTTTTTTTTTGTAAAAAAATATGTAGTTAAAAATAAATTTAAGATAAATAAATTTTTAAAAATTTGTATCAAATTAATGGGGCTTGATATGTATATTACATCAATTTTTGATTATGCCATGTCTAGTCTTCATATTTGACGAGTTAATTCTTAATTATGCAATTGTATCCGAGAGTAACAAAGTGACACAAACTATATAACATTGTGATCTTCACAAACTATATAACATTGTGATCTTAGTCTTCATATTTTTTCTCTAGTTAATGTTTTTGTATTTATTTGTTGCTTTCATTTTAATTTAAAATGTTAATTTTGTATTGAGTTATAGAACTTTTGGACTCACTTTCAAACACGATTTTCTTACCTACATTAAATTTAGAGGAGGGGGGAGGGGGGGGGGGGATAAGATGTTGTTCCAATATAAAGATAAGGACAAAAGCTCATATTGATAAATTAGATTTTGGTAAATTTTGATAAAAATTATAGGTTCCATAAAATGTGCGATTAAAAATAAATTTAGATAAATGAATTTTAAAAAATTAGCTGAAATAGTGGCTTAAGTAACAATACGAAGCGTCTCTAAAATAATTATGTAATTGATATAATTAATCTTACAGAAAATAAAAATTATATGTCGAATGTGATTGTAGAATAGAGGGAAAGGAAGCGAGTGAAAGTCGTGGTAGCAACAATTGCAAAATCGGTGGATGCAAATAGGCTAAGAACGAGCATTCTTGTTGATAATTATTTTTGGTATTGTCTATCTTTATCAATCGACTTTATTCCTTGAATCACTTGCTCAATTCTCGGTGGGTTTCAACGATCATAGATCACTGAATGAACTCGAAAATATTGAAATAGCTACAAAATGACGATCAATATTCCATCTCAATGGCCCTAAAAGTTCAAATCTACCATTGTGATGTTGCTTTCAAGAAAGTCTTAGAACAGTAATAATTGTCTATGTCAACTTGGAAATTAATGTTGGAGCAATTGAATTATATGTTCAATTAAGCTTGCATTTTCATTCCATTCATTGTAACCAGCGCTTGGACCCAGCCCATTTACAAAACATATTGGGCCATTCTTAGTCGAAATGACTCGGCCCATTTACAAAACTTATTTTGATTCTCTATGATGTCAAAAATAGCTGTTACTAGAATGCAACTAATAATTACAAGCTACAATATTTTTTTGCACGAAGGGGTGGGGGGTGGCGTGGGGGGGGGATCATGAATAATAAATTTGACACGAGTTTAAATACTTGTACAAAATTGACAACGAAGTACGAAAATATTTGTTGGGCCCGGACTAGTGACGGGCTGAACTGCCTATTTGCTTACTTTTAAAAGGTTGGGTCAGTTTGGGATTGTGATGGTAAAAAACCTTGCCCCGCCTCAAATGTGGCTAAAAAACCCACCCAAACCCGTCCCATGAAGGGGAAAAAAATAAAAATAGTTTAATTTCTAGACAATTATCGGTTAAAAAAATCATTTTGAATTTTTATTTTATTCTCTAATAATAGTATAACTTGAATTTTTGAAAATATAAAAATATTAAACAGGGCAACAAACTGGGTAAAAAGTTGCCCTACCCCCACCACGCCCCACTCCGTTGCCACCCCTAGTTTGGGATCTAGATATTTTAGAAAATCGAATATAAAATTGAATTTCTTAAAGGATGAGAACCTCAACGACAAATTTCCGAGGAAAAAAATCTAAATATAATAAACATTGATATTAATAACCTTGAGTTTTCCCAAAAAAAACTATGGAAGTAACTCTTATCTTACCAAATTATTATATCAATATCCTTTTATTGTAATTAAACGAAATAAATATATCATTTTACAAACTATATTTTCAATATTATTTTATTTACACGTTTCATGAATGAACATTTTCTAAAGTAGAATTTATTTTTTCAAAATATAACATTACATTTTCAATACTACATTATTCTATTTGTATTCATTTATCAAATCAACATCTATTACATTAAGAAACAAATAATTCCGGATACATGTTTACGAAGGCCTCCTAGAAACATCATGGGGATTTAATTGCATATTAATTTATATTGTAAGCCTGTCGGTAAGGACATATCTATAGTTAATAATATATTATCATATAAAATTATCAAATTACTCGTTTAGAATGTGTTTGACCTACATTCTTTAAAAAAAAAAAATACATTCTTAAACAGTGATTTGATATCATTTCAATCACACATTTTTCAATAAAATAATATTACACGCAAATTAAAAAAAAATCTTATTTTTTAACCACACATTTTTCATCAATACACTATTCAAAAATGTATTATTGTTGAAATAATGTGGCTCAAACAAGGGCTTAATATGTTGCCCTAAGTTAAGAGTAACAATTTATTGACCTAGTTCATTGAAGTTTTAGGCTTCGTTCATATAAAAATTCGTAAATGATTATGCATTCAATTAAAGTCAAATATTAATTTTAATCACAAATTCATAAATACAATTCATTATTTCGACACGTTTTGTAAGACCAACTATCATTCCTATTTATAAATCATTTAGGGTGTGTGTGTCACTCATTATATTGGAAGAATATATTATGAAATAGTGATTGATGTTGAAATGTGTAGTTAAAAAGGAAGGAAGTTTTTTTTAATTTATGTGTAATATTATTTTAATGAAGAATGTATGGTTAAAAATGAGTACTATAAAAAAAATAATGGAAAAGAATAGGAGAAAATAGTTGACAAATCAAAGCTTAATGTCTACTTGACAAATTAATAAATAATTTATAATTAGGAATTGTAAGAGGAATATTATAATGTCCCACTAAATGTATGGATAATAATAAGTAATAATTATTAGTAAAAGAATTTAATTCATATTTGTCGACTCTCATCGAATTTATAAATTGAATTTCGAACGGAGGCTTACAAGTATGCCAAATAGTGGTTTTTTTGTATATGAATTTAACATTGTGCTTCTGTTTGGTGTACTTAAAAATTAATTTTTTAATAAATTTTAATAAAAGTTGATAATGTTTGATTAAAATTAATTGTTAGTTTCAATTTTAATTTTTATTAAATTTTTAAGTGACATATGTACTCTCAAAAAGCAGCCCCACGGACTAATCCGCATTAGCGCGGAATTTGTTCCAACTGGGTTCTTCTACATGTACATCGAGTTTGACACCCCGGTGTACCGACCTCCTTACAAGATGGGGGCTCACGATTTTTTTATTCGGTGTGGGCCCCCCTCTTGTGAGGGGATCGGGCATGGCCAACCCCAAGTTTGAACCCTCTCAATCCACTAGTGTACACAAAGAGGGCTGGGAGGCCAAAGGAAAATAGAAGAAAAGAGCCAAATGAGATGACTTCTTCAAGTCAGTCGAAGAGGTGTACAAAGTCCAAGAGTAATGCTAAAACTTCGCAATCAACTTCAGAAACAACTGTAAGTTAACTAAAAAATGACCTGTACAAAATGTGGTAAAGCAGGACACAATAGGAGAGGCTGCAATGGGGCACCACCTCCAGCACCTCATTAGGATGAAGCTACCAGCCAGGTTCTCCTGTTAATTTTTTTGGCTTTTGTTTTTGTTCATTCAGTGCACATGTAGTGTAACGCAGTTTGTAGATATAATGTAGCACCTCATTTTGCTGTTTTTGAATACTGGACAGAGTTAAGCAAGTTTAGAACTTTTATTGGCTGTACAGTGGATATTTTGCACATTTGAAATGAAAAGTTCTATCTGAATTGTTTTATTGCACGTGCTCATTTTTCTTCAATTTTTTGGTTAATTGGTGGATGAATTGTGTCTGAGATTCTATGATGGAATTGGTGTATTTGGAGTTTGAATTGTTGTGTGCATAAACAGTAGGAAAATAGAAGAAAACAAGGATTTTTCTCTCCAAAATATTGAAAGGTTGGGACGTTATTCACAAAAAATTTTATAAGATAGGGACGTTTCTCCCCAATACATTTTAAAGGTAGGCATGTTTTCAAAAAAATTATAACAACGTAGGGACTATTATAACAATGTTAATTCAATTCTTAGAAGAAGTGAATATGAGCCATTCGTCTTCTCCATTGAGCCAAAAAGAGCCATTCACCATTTTGGTTCATTATAAATTGACTACCCATTTAATATGTCTTTCTAAATTTTTCCAGTGACACAAGATGATAGCAACAGTAGTTGTGGAATTGTGAAATATAATGTGTTCACGATATTTTTTCTTTATTTAACTTAATCATTTAAAGTATTTTCAAATTCATGTTGCTGCTACTGTTACTTATGGACTAAGTTGATGGCGGGAAAAAGGGGTGAAGTGGGTGAGGACAATTTTACCCTTGTTTATGGAAAGAAAAAGGTATTTTTGTATTTAATTAACGGAAAAACTGACGGAATATGGACGGAAGGACGTCCAGCGCAAAGAAAGGTTGAAATGAGGACAAAAATGCCAAAAAATGAAAGGTATTGACGTTTTCCACAATAGACTTGAAAGGTAGGGACGTTTTGTGTCAATTACCCTTTAATTAACGGAAAAACTGACGGAATATGGACGGAAGGACGTCCAGAGCAAAGAAAGGTTGAAATGAGGGCAAAAATGCCAAAAAATGAAAGGTAGGGACGTTTTCCACAATAGACTTGAAAGGTAGGAACGTTTTATGCCAATTACCCAAATAATTTTAAATCAAACAAATTTATATTGAAAAAATTTAGAATAGAAAAAAATTTCTCATTTGAAGGAGAGAAAAGCAGTAATTTAAAA